GTATTCTCTTAGGTACTTAAATCTAGGCCTCTTTAATTGAACGGCAGAAATCAGTGGACGTCTCTGACAATATTTACTTTAATTTCATGGCTCAGTTCTACATGGGTAGAGGATGGATAATGATACAAACTCATTTCATGGGCAGATTGTGAAGAAAAATTAATGGTTGTTAAAAAAAATTATTACATTGAGTCTATCGTTGAAGTCCACAAGGAAACAGTGGAGTATCTGCCAGCATTCTTTGAAAGCAAGAATTTGGGGAAAGAAACTACGTCCTTATCAATAAAGAGCTAGATATGATGTCAGTCCACAAAAATTACCAAGAATCTATTACTATAAGCATAATTACCATTCTTTTCTTCAGTTATTTAAATCTGATTATGTTACTGTCTTAATCTAATGTAGAAGTCAATGTTTTGCAGATCAACGAAAGTAATGTCTTAGTCGTTTAGAGAATTAGGAGGCTCTGTCTTCTAGACTTTCATGTAAAGAATCTTGTTTAACAGTCGTTCCTTCAGGTGATCCCGTTCTCCTCAATGTGTCACAGAACTAAACCCTTCTTTCTGCCTGAAATGGCCTCTGTTTAAACTGCCCCCACTACAAAATGGGAAACATAGTTCTCAGCTCTGTGTTGGAAGTATAGATACAGATTGCATGAAATGCTTTTCTCTAGCATTTTTGTTTCTTCATTTTAACTTAAGCATCTCAGACCACTTAGAAGACAAGAGGCTGAGATGGAGATGAGGAAGAGGTGAGGAAAGGAAGAGGGACAGAAATTACAGAGAATATCAGAGTGCGAGGATGAGCCACATCCTAGGTGTAAAGATGAGGACAAATGAGCATAGGATCAAAATCAGAAAGAAAAAATATTAGGTGCAAAGGGATATTATGTATATCATATCTAATCTGTCAACATAGTTTGGCCAGTATGGAGTTTTAAATTATCCAATTGTCTTAGCTCAAGAAAGCCTGGATCATAGAAACATGTGTAGGATTAATCTCACCTTTCTTCAGGCAGTTGCAGAATAGGTGCCGTATTTCCAATCCAGTCAACAAAGCAAATCAAATTTAGACTTCAATTCATCTGACCAGACATAGGCATCTACTTTAGGATGAGATGAAGCATGCCATGAATTCCATTGACTATGCTGACTAGCTTTTCGTTGACTGCGAAAAAGTAGCATAGGATGTCTTGATCAGATGTTAATGACTACAGCGTAGACCATCACATTTAGCCATCTCAATCCCACCTTTTGAAATCCTTTAGCTAATCACTGACTGTATCTCAACTACTAAATGCCTCATTTCCAAGCCCTACTCCCAAATACTAAAAGGCAGATAATGACCTTAGTATAACCGATCACAAGTTACCAATAGTCACTTTATTATCAAGAGTTATGATCTTGTGGATAAATATCTGCATATCAAACATGGCTGTGATCCCTTGGTTAGAGAAAATCCTGGAGATGTAGACCCATTCCCATCTAATACAGATCTCTATGATATTTTCAGTACTGTAAACTTTCAGCCAGCTGTGGCCTACCACCATAACTATTTCAAATTCAGCTATTCCATCACCTATGAAGATCTTTATAGACATTACAATTGGCACACAGTGAGGTCAAAATGGAGTTGACCTTTCAAATGAACTCGATTCCATGATCTGTACCTTGCCCATAAATTAGAACATTCTTCATTCTGCTGAACAGAAGAATGACTGTCCTCCTGACTGTACGAGGACTGCCACTATAGGCAGTTGTCCACTTCAGGCTGGAAGCACTGTATGCTTATGGTAAAACTTCCTGCCTGGCTGACATTGTCTGATTCGTTCCAAAGCTGGATTAACTGAGGCTGTTTCGAGCACCTCAAGTGGCACCAACATTTGCTGCCACTGTCAGAACTCAGACTGGCCTGGCTTTCCATTCTTCCTAGACTGCTCCATTACTGTATTCCGTACAACTTCTCAACTAGAAATATTTATATGCGATGTTAGTAAAGCCATTCAAGAAGTTGGCAGGAAGATTGGTTTCAACAACCAAAATATTGTTAAAAATTGACACGTCCTGCTTCAATGAGAAAAGTGTGAAACACCTTCAGAAATAAGAAGGAAATGGTGATCTAGACAATTCACCATACAACTTTTGGACAACTTGATTTTTTCTAGAGAAAGCAAGAAGAGAGCAAGCTATCATGGAACTTAGTGTAGCAAAATCCAACCGCAAAACCTGGGCACTGGTCACAAAACCTGGTACCCCTCAGATGCTTGAACCATAGCACTATCACATGGTATTTTTGAATAGTATGGTTGATTCTCCTGAAAAGTCTTATAAAGCAATGAGGGCAAAAGCTTAGGATAGAAGGCAAAGAAGAATTAATGGCAATGCGAGCAATGAATACGTGTAAAAGAAAAACTTCTTTCACTGCAGATGAAATGTGGAGTGTGGTTGAAACATTAAAAATTAGTAATAACTCTGAGCTTTTGTTGTTTCCTTGAAGTACTAAAAATAGAGCAGTACTGATGACCTGTGTTTCTTTTTGGTAATCCAGAAGATCAAAATGCCTAAGACCTGGTTTACTGCAATGGTAAGACCCTTAGTACAAATTAAGATGTTCTTATGCCTTGCAAGCAAAGTAACATCTTCAGCAAGCACTGCTGCCATCTCTTTGCTAAAACATAAGTACCAGCTACTTTAAAAGATTGTCCTTCAAAGGGTGGCTACAACAACGATGGTATGCTGAGTACAGCTCAAAAAGGATTCAGGCTACATCTTAGGAACTGTGATTAAATGCTCACCTCCAGAAGGCAGTCACAGAGTTCCTAGATTTTAACCATCTCTATTTCATACATAGGCCTATCCTTCTGTCAATGGTCCTGTTACTGTCACTGAACGACCCCCTTTTTCACCACTTAGATGAAGCGAGCTCTTGAAGATCTCAAGAAGTGGTTTAGAAACAGATCAGTTCTAACCTTTTCATAGACTAGTTAGGAAATTAGGAAGGTATGAACAGTGTGAAAGTTGTTAGATGTTTTATCTGCACAAATGATGTCCATCTAGCAGTCCAGTACCAGAATTTCAGTTATCCAGAAGAAGGATGTTGACCTGGGAGACATGATGTATTTGTCACAAAGAATGGGCAGGTTAACCAAGTGTGAGAAAGGAATCTCCAGCTCTTTCTCCATAAATCATCCAAAGCCCACAAACGGATCAACGTTTTCCGAATGGGTACCTGCTGGACAATGGTCCAAAACTTATTTATCAAAGTAGAACGTTGAGGAGTTTCTTGGCTTTCCAGAAATGTTTTTGAAGGACTTTGGCAAAAAAATAAAAATAAGAGGTAACTTGATAAAAATTAGTTGAGGCAATGGATTGATTGATTACACAAACGTGATGAACTCCGCTTTAACTTGTGTTGTTCTGCAGTAGAGTATGGCTTCCTGGTGTGGTATGGAATAAGAAACACACACTGGAACAAATGCCTCGGTACGGTAGAACGCATGGTAAGGCACTTCTGTCCTGACACTGGCTTTGTCCCACCCTTCAGCCCTTTTGAGATCAGAAACGCCATCTTGCAGAATTTGCTCTTGAAGGAGTAACTCATCACATCTACCTTTGCACAACGATGCCTTTGATTCATCAAGTTAATGGTTTACTACACGGCACCTTATTGGCATAATTTCTGGTGAAGCACCCCTAGATGACATCTGAGGTGACAAGAACAAGTTGCGTGGTGTAACTAGTACCGGACTCATGAGAAAGTCAACAACTCAGCTACTTTCAGTTGACCCATCATACCAGGGAGGCTTTGGTGGGGCCTTCCCAATTTTTAAACACGGTCATTTGGGAGATGTAAGCCACGTATGTGCCGTTGGCAACGATCATCGTGGGCTGCTGAGTTCCCGCGTGGATTTGCCCACGTCCTTCACTCTCTTACGGTAAAGGCATTCAACAGGGCAAGTTTGGAAAAAGGTATGCAGACGCGTTACAACGCTGCTTATACAAATGGTGGCGGTGGCAGAGCAGGGCAATGGACTGGGAACTGGCCGCAGCCCATGGGGGAGCGGGGCTGGGGAGGCCGAGGGGTCCGGGCAAGGCGTGGAGGGGCGAGGAGAGGGACGAGCGCAGGGGCTCGGGGAAGCGACGAGGGCTCCGTTGGATCTGGAGGCCGGGATGGTGCTCCACCTCTGCCTGCCTGCCCCGACGAGGAACTCCTCATCCTTTTCCTTCACACCTTCCTGTCGGCAAGGGCTTCCTCTGACCACTCCTAAGGTGCTGTGACTTGTCTCATGTGCTACCTGCGTACAGAACAGCCCCCTCCTGTTGAAATTCAGGAGTCAATGCTGGTCTTGTTTTTAGTTTTATGTCTTTAAACAAAACGGGATGGAGAATTGTGGTTCCCAGAAGCCCAGCCATGGCAAAACGGAGCCTGGCCCAGGGCACTGAGGGTCTGGGAAGGATGGTCGTACCCCAGCAGGGACTGACTTGTGTGTCAGATTGCGAAGTGGTCCTGGCCCCGGACCAGGGAGCAAAGGGAGCTGAGCTGCTGCCTTCTGGTTGTTCTCGAGCAAGTCCCTTCCCTTGGGTCTTTCTTTTCCAGTCTGTCACATGAGGAGGATGATACCAATCTCATCCCGCAGGTCCTGTGGGACTAACTTCATTTAGGACATTTCATGTGCACTGAGATCCTTCCCTGTGCACGAGGGTTATTTTCTTATCCAAATACGAAGTGATTAACTGGATTCCTCCCCCTGAGACAGCAGCAGCAGCGGCAGCAGCAGCAGCACCTCACTGGCATTGAGCGAGCGGAGCTGCTAGTTGCGCTGGAGAGAGACGCGCAGGGAGGAGGAAGAAGAAGAAGAGGAGGAGGAGAAGAAGGAGGAGGAGGAGGAGGGGAAGTGGAGGAGGAGGAGGAGGAGGAGGGAGAGGGGAAAACAGTTTAATAATTGAAATAAAATAAAAGAAGAAGAAGAAGAAGAAGAAGAAGAAGAAGAAGACGAAGAAGACGAGGAGGGAGAAGAGGAGGAGGAGGCCACACGGACACCAACTGAAACAAAGTATTTCCAAACCAGCACCCAACTCCACCTTGTGAGGCTCCCCAGCATGGCTTCCGAGGAACTCTACGAGGTAACAGCCCCCGAGCGCCGGCCCTGCCCCCG